CTGGTGAATCAAAAAGAAGAATATGAGATAATGGAAGAAGAAAGAATATATATATATACATTTTGAATTCCATACCTAAATACACCTATTTTTTTGCTTATTTATAGGCAACAATTAGAAAAGAATTCCATTAAATTAGGAACAAGTAATAAAATTACAATTGCACATATATGTAATCAAACACATTCTTTTCGTTGTTCAGGACACCATCATGTCAAAGTCGGTCGGGTTATGTTGAACAGGAGCCGCAATATTTTTTAGCTGACTCATATCATTCAATCACTTATTATATATCTCTTTAGCTAATTTCTTAATAAGACAAATCCACAATGCATTTAAAGTTTGTTTGGGGTAGCTGTAATTGTTTGAAAAAACAACTGTGAAGCTATTATAGAAAAAACTGCTGTTAAAAAAACTGTGGTGGCTATTACAAGTTTTTTTTTTTTTTTTTTTTTTTTTTTTTGCAGTAATTAGTTTCTCTCTAATAGTCATCGCACTTAGCTAGGTCCGGTGGCAAAACACAACTTTCAACTGCAACTTTTCGAAAAAAATAGGCAAAATACAAGTTTGTCAAACGAAAAAAAAATTACAAAATCGCTATAACTTTCTTTTTTTCGCTAATTATTGGGTACAAAATCGCTATAACTTGATAAATTTAATACTTAAAAATATTATTTTTTATTGTTAACATCATTGTTTTTCTACTTTTAATCAAGCAATCTTGATAGTAATTGAATATTGCCCATAATATTAAAGCAAAATGACTTCTAATAACTCGAAGTTGTATTTTTAAAAAAGAGAATGGCATGTTGGGTGTCATATTATTTGTAAAATATGATAAGTTGATGCTGCTCTTATATAAATTTAAAATTATTTTATTTCATTAAAATATAAAATTATTAAAAAAATTTACTAGAGAGAGAGAGTGTGTGTGTGTGTGTGTGTGAGTAAGAGGAAGGCAGCAGTGCCGAAGGAGGTAAAGAAGGCTTTTTCATTAGGTATATGTGAGAGTAAGAGATTAAGAGGAGTAGAATGACTATAGCAGACATATAAGATATTGAGGAAGGAGATAAAAAACTTCATAACTGATTAAGAGGAGAAGAATGACTATATCACACATATCTAACGTTTATCATTAGTTATATGTGAGAATAAGCTATTTAAAATAATAATAAAATTTGTTGGACTAAACATATGATTATTCACTCATTTATACAACCATATTTTTATAAAGGTTCCTCCAATAATTGTTGTTTTTTTTTTATATATATTTATTAGAAATATAATCATAAGAAATCAAATGTTCCTAACTAGAAACCACAAATTAAACTTCTCTCCCAATTAGCAATATATATGATCCATGAATTATAGGTACAATCAATTTCTAGTCTATAAAAAAATAAATATGATCTTACACCTGGTTGTATAGAGATAGATGTTTTCTTGAATTAATTATGGCTTAACAATTATCTTTAAAAATGGGAACCATTGAATTTGAGCATATTTGCACACTCCTCATAATCAATGACATTTTCCTTACATTTACTTAAATTGATGACACTTTAAGCCCCACCTGCCATCTCTTGATACCACGTAATGGATACAAGTACTTATTAGCTGCCAATATTTGGCTTAACAGTTACAATAACAAGTTTCGTATATAAATGATTAAGATGACCACTTATCATAACAAGACTTCTAATATTCCGTACTGCCTTTATTTGTGATTGTCAATGACCCTCAGCTAACATCCATTAGTTTTCTTATCAACCATCACCTCATGCATTCCAATGCTAACATTCAGAGTCCATCTTCTTGATAATTATTCTCCACATTCATTCAAATTAAAAAGTCTCTATCCCTCAAATTATCATGTCTATTATTAATTATTATGTCACTTATTGCTTATTGAAAATTACAACAATTGAAGACTCTTACCAAAATTACAAGGAGTCATACATGTCATGTTCTTCAAATTTATTATATTATATGAGTGCATCATCATATCACTAGAAGGAGCACCCATTATTATTTTTAACTTACGCTAATGCAATTGTTTCAAAAAGACTAGACCATGAGGTTTTTGTCCGTAAGAAGCTTTCTACGCACAAAAATATTTAGTCACATACATTTAGTTTTTCAATTTATCAACGCATGTGATGAACATTCACATCATCCTCAAATACTAAACCATCTCAACAACCATAAAACCTTTAACACATAAGAATCAAAAAGTATCCTTAGCCAAACAACTGATCACTTGTAATTTTTCCGGTTTCAAAATATGTTAGGCAATCTTCAAAATCAAATTGAAAGAACTTCTATAATAAGTTAACTTATTAAGTATGCCACATTTTGTAAGAAAAATCCAAGAAAATTTGATCGAATTAAGCTCCAAAGCTCCGGACCTATCATGCAATAAAACTCATTGCATGTAATGTAAAGCTTGAAAGGGACAAGTGTAAAGTTGCATTGAAGAGTAGCCCTTCAAAAAGAAGCCAGCCAACAAAAACAAGGAGCCAAAAAGTAAAGCGTTTGGTATAGAAACTACCGTTTTAGCATCCGAAGTAATTGGAGGGCGCCCAGAGTTAATTCCAATTCTCCACATAAATATTAATTTCAAAGTAAAAGCATAAAAGGATACTATAAATAATTAATAATCAAGTGGGGCTCAGATATAAAAAATAGTAAAGGGATCTGGCCCGGTTTTCACTTCGCAGTCATTGCTCACTTTTTGACTATTCTTTGACCAGGCAACCCGAATCTCATTACTAAATTCTTAGATATGTTAATAAATACATTAAAATTTAGTGGTATGTATGTAAATCTGAAAATGTGGCTATATCGCTGTGCATATATGCTGCGAACCATCTATTTTATTCATGTCAGCTTATTGTGGAGTCAATGCTTGTAGAAAAAAAAAAGGAAAATCAGTTTTGATTGAATATCTTAAAGCTTAGAAAGTGATTCAAATTCTTATTTTTTTCATGATTTCAAATCTTTTTTTTCAGAAACTTCTATTTCTTTTTGTTATTAACTCAGAATGCATGATTGCTCGCCATTTCTTCTAGTTACATTCATTGTATTAGATGCTGTATTTATGGCTGTAACGAGGGGTAATATGTTCTTTTAGTTTTATTTATAACCCCAAGCATTTTTCTTTCTCCCCAACGGTGCCAGTGAAATCTTCCTTCTAATGGATGCAGACAAATCAATTCATCGCTGAACCACATAAATTTTTTTGTGTTTGAATGTTGTATGAATTTCTTCGTTTTTGCATTGTTTTCACATAATATCATATTCATCTAGGACTATTAACGATCCAATTTCAAGATGAGTTAGGGTCGGCTTAAAATCGACTCGAAAAAAATTCGATCCAAAATTTTGGCTCGTAACTTGACTGATTTATTTCGATCTGATATCCGAGCCAAAATTCAAATCAATTTTTGAGTGATTAACTATCTTCAATCTAAATGAGTTAAATTCACAGTCATATGTTTCTAACGATCAGATCTCCTGCCTAGTTAGGTCAGCCAAATCGGCTCGAAAAAAATCCAATCCAAAATTTTTACTCGCAGCTCAGCTCATTTATTTTGATCCAATCTAGATCTAAGCCAAATCTCAAATCAAACTTTGAGCGATTAACAATCATCGACCTAAATTCACAACCCTAGGTTCAACTTTCAGCTATAAGATTCTTTGCACTTATTTTTTGAAATTGCAACTAAATATTAATTTCTAGCCATAAATTTTTTTTAAAAAAACTTTTTTTGGTCAATTTGCTTACTGATTTCTGATATCTTAGCCTTCAATTCAAATCAAAAGCCTCGTTCTTGTGATTTAGGCAATGACGGACTCAAATGTAAAATTATTCTTTAACCCTGTCACATGTTCTTTTTTAAGTACTTTAGAAAAGAAAATATGATGATTGATGACAATAAGCAAATTGAATTTTGAATTAATCATGAGCAAATTTACACCATGACAATGGTGTTGAATCTAAAAATGTCCTGAAAACACACCCAAAAAATGGAACGTTTTATTAGTAAGTGTTTAAAAGAGAGAGCGCTAGGCCGACAAAAAAAAGGAGTCTCTTATTCATTATATGGACCCCTTTTTATAGACATGTGTGCCAATATTTCAAAAGCACATATTAACCCACTCATTATTAGCTTTTTAGGGGATTTTTTTGTAGTTACAAAGTTATTTACATATAGTAAGATCGGGGGCTGACTTAATCAATGAGTGTTATTGATCGTTTGATAAGTCTTGATTCGATCGATATATATAGTCTGAAAGATTGCAATCCAACTATCGTCTTGAAGATTGATTGCCGCTCTACGGGATTTTCTCTTTGCGTTTTCTATCGATCGTTCGGATAAGGTGCTTCCTTCTCCAATACTCATCTGAAAGCGATCGTCGAAGGCTATGTTAGATTATCTGCTTCTTCATCATGAGCCGTCCATTTGCTTTGACATTCATGCTGACACATTTTTATGTGTAGAAATGCCAATATTAGAAGGTTGTTTAAGTACTTCATATGCTGAAATAAACTTATAAATATGAGTTATTAAAAGCAACCTTAATCAGCCGTCATACTCATCGTATTTCTCTCCTTCTGTAGTTCGTTGACTCCTGCCGCCCTCTGCTCATCTTTCACCCAAAGTAATTGTCTTTACTACTAAATTGGATCCAATTTTCCTTAACTAAATTTAAACATCTCATAATTTTATTGCTAATTTCTTGTCTAATCTTAACGATACAATTCAACACCGGAAGAAATACATATTCTGAAAAGTATCGAATCACTCCCCTCAATTTAATTTAAGATAATATTAACCCATACCGTGTTCGATTTTGAAGAACTGAAATTCATTAAATAAAAAAACGATGGAATCAATTATCTCAGCTGTTTTAGACATAAATTAAATGATGAAACGCAGAAATAAGATAATTATGGTTTGGCAATTATCAAGACGACATAGGATCTTCGTCATTGTGAGGGCAAATATTGGTGCTATAATTGAGCTACAATAATGAGCCCATCTCCTGGGCTGCCATTAATTGACGGTCATACTTCGCCCACAGTGTAAATGGTACATCACATCAAAAGCGAATCGAAGTGCAAACAGTACAGCAATTAAGGAGTTGGCTAAAAGTAATGGCCCATAAATATCAAATAATGGAAAGGGGCATTAACTAACAACCTATTAATAATGAAACAACACAATTTACTTTTGCGATGGAATAGCCAAATGGCTAACCGAGACATCAGACTACGCCGCCTGCATGCTCAATTTTTTGTGCACGTCCCGATCAGTGCTTATGGCTTGGGCCCTACATGAGCTCTCTCTATTATTCGCCCCGCCCTGCTCAAAAGAAGACATTGAACGGGCCAATTACTTGCGGCAGAAATAAATGAAATGCCTTGCGAACTGCCAAGCTTTTAAATAAAATGGTAAGTTGACGAATCACATTTAGATTCCTCTCAATGGTGTTGAAAATCTGAAAACAGTCAATAATAAATTTATTTATTTATTTGTATTTTTCTTTCGTTATTTTCATACGACTCTTCGCTACTAGCTAAGCATTGGTGACAAAAGTAAAAAACAAATAAAATGTAACATGACTGGCTAACATTAGAATTAATCAATTTAACTGTTAAATAAGTGCCTCATAAATAAAAAAATGAAAGGATATTTCATAAACAATATATATATATATATATATATATATATATATATAGCCCTGTCACAGTCCTGGCTATGTCTTTCACCTGTCGCACGAAATTATACGGACCAATGCATTTTTCACGTTAGCAGGTCTTTATGTACATTTTTTGCAGCAGGCATTTATGTCATTGTTCCCATTGTTGCCCGTTTAAATAATACTTCCAGATCCGTGCAGCTCTCAAAATATTTATGAAGCAAAAACATATTTGCCGAACAACAAATCCACCCACTTAATACATTAATCCATAACGTAATCCTTAAATTAATTAGCAAAACAAAGTTCTTAAATATAATTATCTATACTAACGTTAATCGTGTAATAAAATTGAAATATCTCCCGCAAATAACAAACTAATAATCAAAAGCCATCCCTAATCCACATTAATTAATTTATCCGAACAGCAGAATCTCATAATTATCCATCGTAAAACTAGTCACGTGAGGGGGGCAAGGGAGATCAGATCTGAAGACGTCCTAGTATACGTAGGCCCGTCCATACGTTACTCGACACCACATGCATGCATGGAATAAGCAACTACCTCCGAGTAAAATTGAAGAGCGGACACGTGTTAGCTACCCGATCCAGGAGGAGGTAGAACGGTCCAACAATGTTAGCGCCGGGTTCGCCAGATAAATTAAAATATTAAATAACTAACGTGAAGAGTTGATTTATAGCAGGCAGGCGGGGATTATTAATAATTTCTGGTGCCCCTCCAGTGTCTCTTACAAGAAAGGAGGGAAAAAAGGAATTAGCTAACATTTTGTCTCTTGTCTTCTTCCTTTGTTCCCATATTACCCCCAAAAAACAAATATCAAATACTAACATATTTCCACTCTATTGGTCCCTTTGTTTTTTTTTTTTTTTTTTCAATTGATGTGCTTTCTGAAGTATTTTTTAATTTATAATCCTTTTAAATGTTTATTAATTAGGTATTATTGGTCGGACTGCCGTCACTGGATAGGTAGGACGCGAGCTGCAGCAGTAGTGCGGCGCATCTTGGCATCTCAGCCGTTGGATGCCGATCCGGCGGTCTTATCGCTTTCCAAGCCAGCACGATGGCGGTCAAGTACAGTGACCGGCGTGAGAGCCGAATAGTCCGAATCACAGCCGTTCGATGCCGCATCAATCACGGTGGTCGAATCGTAGCTGTCCATCACTGTGCAGCATTCCGCCAAAGTCTCCTGATAATGTTTGCAGAAATACCCACGATACAAATAAACTAAAAAAAGGGGAAAATGTTGGAATAAGGCGAAAATGTAATTCTAGGGTTATGTGCGCACTTTATTGAGATATTCACAGCAGAGCAGGGCAGAGCGGAAGGAAGGGAAATCAGCAGGGAAGAGTTCGCGCGCGGCAGCAAGAAGCGCTGCAGCAGCGGTCACAGAAGGCTTGAACTCGAGCGATTTGACATCTATTTCCAATAAATGAAAACGAAATTACTTTCAAATTTAGAGAAAAATAGTTAAAATCCACGATCCGAATCGAGAAATCTATACCGCTTTGGAATTTGAAGAGGATCTGAGAGGCATGCGTCTTTAGAGATTGGATAATGATTGGATTCGTCAGGGGGAAGTAGGATATGAAGAATCGGAGGAAGGAAAAGGGCGTGATAGATCGCATCCGCCATTCCAGAGCGCCGAGTACGACCAGCTCCATCCGTCGAATAGTCCGGGCATCGAAGATGAACCCCTCCTCCCTCTGCTCCGAACAATTTAGGGAAAATGTTGAATCGATCGGATCGAGATTGATCGACAGCAGATGATAAGCTAGTTTCACGGTACCTGTACATCAGCAGGGGAGAAACCAATGTTCTTCATCTTGGAGGCCAGGCAGAGGCAGGAAATGGCGAGGAGTCGTGCGATCCATGGTTTATCATCCTGCAGAGAGAAGAAACCAATCAGATCGGAGATAGAGCAGTACCGATTCGGCATTGGATTGGTGAATAGATTACCGGGATCTGGCTTTTGGCGAGGAAGCGATCAATATAGTTGGCAGCAAGGTAGGCTAGTGCTGGATCGAGATTGTTGCTGAACTGAGCCTGCGATTGATCAGATAGATCTTTCATTGATGAAAAAGCATAAGGCGGAGCAGAGGAGAGTGAGACCTTATTCCATGTTTTACCTGGACGATGACTGAAAGGGCATGGGAGCGGGTGGAGAGCTGGTTTAGAGCAATTGCCAGCGAGCACATGTGCTCCGATTCAGCGGCGAAAAGCATGGCGGGCTCGTCGGAGTGTGCGGAACCGAGAAATAGTCTTTTTGAGAGTTGGAGGGCTTTTTCATCGGTGCCGGAGAGCGGGTTCTCAAGGTCGAAGTTGAACTCCATTGCCAGTGCGTTAACCCTACAAACCGTTTGTGTGAGAAGAGAGAAAGAGAGCTGGGGGGAGAGAGAGAGAGATTAGTGGGAGAAAGCAATTAAGAAGGAGAAGGGAAATCGAGGTGTTAGCTTTATAAAGGTGGAGATGGAGAAGCTGTGGTATTAGGAAGCCGGAGGCCCCATGAGGCTGCGACAGTGATCACACTCACTCTCTCTTGCCCGATGAAATCGGGAAATAAATTGTTTGTAATTAATTAATTGCTTTTAATTATTGGGATTTTGAGTTAGATTTATTACTGAAATGAACAAAATATACCTGATTTTTCAAATCAAAATTTTATATATTAAAAAATAAAAAAGTATTATATGATAATTATATAATCTAAAATAAACATGAGATGAATTAATATATTAATACGTTTATTTCAATCACACATAAAATTAAAAAATAATCTAATAAATATCTTAAACACAACTGAAAAAGCAATACTCAACACGATATTAGAATATTGACTTAAGAAGTTTAAAATTCATGTTTTATGAAAAATAAAAAATAAAAATTATAAACATGTGATTAAATAGACATGGGCATTAGTCGGCTCGTCATAAGCCATCGAGCTATGGGCGGATTTGGCTATAAAAGAATAGAAATTTGGCGAGTCCAGCCCGATCAGAGCCCGCGTTGACTTAGACAAAATCCACAAAAGCCAAACTCGAGCCGCCCATAAAACCAGGCCCGAAAAAAATTGAATTTATTTGGGTTGATTTGCGTACATGCCACATAATTCTTGTTTGTATAATGTTTACATATCTCGCACCAAGATTTTAATATTTAGTATTATAAATGATTCAAGTTTATTTGTTGATATGGCAACAAAAGGGATTAAATTTTACTAGAAGGCATAATTTTCATATAAGAAATGATTGCTATTTAAGTATTTATGTGTTTATTTATTCATATTTTTATATAAATGCTAAGAAAAATTCATTCTCATCCAGTATAAATTTTGCTGTGTAAAGCTTCTTTTAGCAAAGTTTGAAATAAGATGCAGAAAGTTTATTATATATAAATTTTGCTAAAAGTCATTTCTTATATAATTTAAATTTTTTGCATCTAGATTTTTCTTTTAAGTCCCAAGGGCCAGCCCGGCCTAACCCGACCTATGGAGTTGGCGAGTTTAGTTATGATTTTTTAGATAGAAACCAGGCTCAAGCCCGCTTTGACTAGTCAAAGCACGATTAAGCCCGTCCAGCCCAACATCCAAGGCTATTATTAAAGTACTGTGAACCAAGCCAAACGATCTCTAATAGATTACACATCAAAGAATTAGCCCTGGAAAGCTTGAAGAAATACTAATCATCACAGAGTGGATGATCCAGTAAACCGAACTAAAACTACCGACAATAAAAAATTTTTAGGGCACTATTGACATTTCTCAATGTAACTGTTACACACTATAAATATAGGAACACAAACTTGTAAGAAAAGCAAGGAATATATTGTTGATATAATATTCTTAAGGCTCTTAAGTCTCTTTTTATCCCTCACTTTTTCTATTTATTTTATGTTCCATATCTTGGTTGTGATTCACATAAAAATTTTGGCTTAACAATAAATAATCACAAGGAAGTGCAGAGGAAGGAAAATAATTCTAATTTCAGCTATTTATTAAGTTATTTTTACATAATATATATTATATAAAGTAAAATTGTTCCTTAATTTACTTATCCAAGAAAAAAATTATTATTTATGATTTACTTGTCCATTATAATTTTTATTTTATCGATCAAATGTAAGGCAACTATAATTCAGTACATTATAGTCCAAAAATTAGTAATTAAGATAGTGATATTTTGATGTAGTAGTTAGTATGGCTCCTAAAAATTCACTTTTTTAATAAGAATCAATTGTAAGATCTCCAAACACAAAGGTATTTAAATTAGACATTTTTAAAATTTATTCTAAATAAAATTAACTATAGAATGTGAGTCTCAATAGAAATGTTCGCAACAAGCTCAAGGCTACTCAATTATAATGACATCTAGTTGTTTAAATTCTTAGAAAAGACTTCGCTACTTAATTGTAATGACATCTAGTTGTTTAAATTCTTAGAAAAGACCAAATATTTTGAAAAGAAGTCATTTTTGGTCATCCTAAAGTTTGTTTCAAAATTGTAATAAATATTAAATTTTCTTTTTTATAAACACGTTTATCTTTGTGTGTCACTTTCTATTTGTCATCATCATATTTATCTTCATAGATACGCTTCGTGAGTGGTACCTTAGTGTTTATGGAGTGATACAATTTTAGCCTTATCATGTATTATTAAATAACATTTAAAATGCAACCGTTCTTGAAATTTCTTCGCTTGCGAATTATTTTCCCAATTCTCGTATTTTCGCCGCCCCCACTCCATGTGTTTGAAGATGGAGAAGGTTTGTTCATTTTTCATTGAAATTTAGTTTGTACGTGAGTACCGTCAGGTCTGCCAGCTATCGATCTTTATTCTGCCACCATCTTTTTGGCCTTCCCCACTCCAAATAATTACCTAACTAACAATATATACACATAAATTTTGTTAATTTAAAATTTATAAAATAAATTAAATCTCTTAAAATTATTCTATTTTATGCCATGGATAATGACAACAATTTTCAATAATTTTAGTTTACGAAAGGGAAAATTGCCGGAGCAGCTCTCCAATTTCTGAATTTCGCATACAGGGCATGTGTTGGTAATGCCATTGCCCTTTCTCTGATTGGTAGCTTGGGTAGAAGGGCATGACCTTCTTTCAAATAATAATAATCATATAATTATTATCTATTTTAAAGTATTTTGAAGTATAAAATTGTTGGATCCACAATTGTCTTTTCAGAGCATACATCGAAAGTTAGAGTCGAGTGAAAGAGAGAATTAAGTGAACCGAGAATTACTGAGGATAGAATCGGGGGAGTTCAAACGGCTTGCCACCCTATGATCGTCCTTTTGTTTCTTATTTATAAGAATTTACTTTTTTACAATAAAAGAAATGAGGGAACAATTATGTAAACCATTTTTAATGTGATTAATGCCCGTTTGAATTTTATTTCATATATATATATTACAATTTAAATTTTGATATGACGGTAATTGATTGATTGATTCGCTAGAATACGACCAATTGAGGTGATCGACTAATCGACGACCGTGCCTCGTGTTTGGTCAAACGAAGATCTCGTCCGTTGCGGCAAAGCAGGTCGGTCGTCTAATTACGATCATGGATCATCTAATTACGATCAGGGAGTTTCTACCTGCGCTTTGGCCAATCCGTTGGTCGACTGTGTTAGATATGGCTCATATCTAGGGAGTTGGAGGTCGTCTAATTACGATCATGGAGTTTCTACCTGCGCTTTGGCCAATCCGTTGGTTGACTGATGGGTTGATTTGTTCTTGTTAGGTGAGTCGTGACTAACTTATCGCTTTTGACTCAAGTCTTACGGGGTCTACGTATCGTCCACTTGATCAATTCGTCTCCTCAGCCAGATACCCATATTTACAAGTTCTTTGTTGAATCTTGTCATTGTCTGTGTGAGGTATTCGATGAGACTTGCTGCTATGATGAATTACGTCTCACCTTTGACAGATGTTGTCGCTATAGGGCAAGGGACCATTTCTAGGGATTTGAACTGTCATTGGTTTAGAGACGCGGCTTCACCTGCTTGACAGTGACTTGTTATTCCACTGTTTACCCTTAGGGGGAAGCTTTTTTGTTTTTGGTGGTTCGTTCTCTTTGAGATTCATATTGGTAGCTCCAATGTATACAATAATGTTAATAAAAACATAAGCCTCTCTTTAATGACCATAGTCGAAATTTAAGTATGCACCTTAAGATAAAGATTGTTTCTGAGTATAAGTCTCACCAGTTTAAAATACACCAAGACTAAACTTCTAAAACAATACAAAAAAACAAGCTTATTTTAAAGTGTTTTCAATGATTGTTCTTACTAAGAAAAAAAAAATCTTTTTCATCAATTTCTTATGACTTGTAATAAATTAATATATCGGTCCCCACTCTCAACGAAAAAAGAGAGCTAAGAGTGTTATGCGAAAATAATGCAGAAAGGAAGAAATTCACATAAAAAATTCAAACACAAAAGTTTTACGTTGTTCAGTGTTACGTTGATTCGCTTAAATTCACGGGGAAGGAGATTTCACTAGCACCGGATGGGAGAAAGAAAAAAAGCTAGGGGTTACAAGTCACGCTTCTCATCATATAGCTCTCATAAGCCTCAAGTCCCTTTTATAGAAAAAAAATGTAACATATAAGTAAATAATGTCAAAAGACCAAATCACCTCTAATTACAATAAAAGCCAAAAATTCAATAAAGAGAAGACATAAAAATATGCTAAAGAACCTTCCATCATTTACGTTTTAATTAAATCACGAAGAAAATTTAAAGAAAGCTTTGGGACAACTATGAAAAGCGCATGGAATGCAATCATTTGCATGCTTCATTACTCCACATCGTAATTATTTCTCTTAGGCACCCGAATTGCAACACGAAGCATGCACTTAAAGGAATCTTGTCTAATAATTTGATTTGCGTAGAATTAAAAGGGTAATAATTCTGAAGAGGAAAAGCCATTGGGCCATTAGAGGGAGCTTCTTCGGGCAGATCTAGATTTAAAGGAAGTTACACATATACGCATGAAGCATTAATGATGGTAAAGGAGGAAATAGATCAGGACAAGATGGGATGACTTGATGAGGCTGCCATTGTTGTTCTCTTGTGGGCGCTTTTTTTTTCTCTTATCGGGCGTCCTTTTGTTTGTAGCTTAACTTTACATTATTCATCTGAGTGCGAAAGTAATGGATCGATGCTCTAAAGGTTGGATCAGTAGCACTGCACCATTTGGGACCAATTTGCCCTGTAACTTGATTGGCCTTAGCTCACTTGGACTCTATTTGGAGGTCTTTCATTTGCTAACATCTATTATATAATCACGAGCTCTCTGTAGCACTGTTTTAAGTTGCATCAAATATATGGCACTGCGAGCTTTCAGCCTAAACATAATAGATTTCGAGTCATACACTCTAACTATGTCTATTTGTTAAGAATATTGTACAAATTAACTTTTAAATACATAGAAATTTATGTGTACAAGTTTAATGTGCAATGTGCTTGGTTGTTTTTTTGCCGTGTGAATTTGTTTTTTGC